CTGGGGCTCCCTTTCCTCCTTCTTTGTCGATCTGCTTTGTGTCAGGAAACTGCCTGGGGTCTTGGGGCCCCCTTTGCTGCTGTTTCTAGTGGGAGGTGCTGCTCAGAGTGAGACCCTCCCCTGGGCCACCAGGACACACGGTGGCTCCAAAGCGAGGCTTCGGTCAAATGGAGGCCTTGTGGGTCACACACCCCCTGATTTCGGCCAGAAGTTCCAACGGTCCCCTCAGCACATAGGCGCCTGACAGTCTTGCAAGAGGATGAGGGGGGAGAAGAAGCACAGCCATGGGCACCCCGACCCAGCCCCTCCTACGGACAACCCTTGACTCAGCCCCCACCTGCTGCCTCTGGCCTGAAGGGCTGGCCGCCCTGAAGGGTCCCGCAGGGAAGGCCAAGCCTGTGGAAGAAGCGGGAATGCCTGCTCGGCCGGTAGCCGGTCCTTCCCACGCAGTGCCTTTTAGCTGTCAACCATCTTGTCAGGGCCAGGATTTTCTAGGTGTTGCCCGGTCACAATCAGACACCATTACTAACACCACCTCTGCAGCAGGAACTGCCAAGGGGGCTCCCAGCCCTGAGTGAAAAGCCGGCAGCCTGGGAAGTGCACGTGGAGCCTCGTGGCACAGTGGCTAAACTGCAGCACTGTGGCCGAAACTCTGCTCACAACCTGAGTTCAATCCCAGATAGCCAGCACAAGGTTTACTCAGCCTTCCATCCTTCTGAGGTCTGTAAGTTGCCCAACTTCCTGCAGAGGGGGGGGGCAATGTGTAGCCTGCACAATGAAACTGTAAACAGGCCAGAGAGTGCTTTAAGCACTATAGGGTGGTGTAGAAGCAGCACATTATTTATTTATTTATTTGTTTATTTATTTATTTATTTTAATGTGGCATGCCATGCATTCTTCTGGTGCTTCTTTGCGCACAGAAGCTCTCCGGGTGCTGCTCTGCCAGGTAAATGCAATGTTTCCAGCATGATTCACTCTTTCCAGAGAAACAATAGCTGTTTCCTTTGGCATGAGGTGATCCTTGTGACAAGCCCCATGCTCCACCCTCCTCAGAGGGACCCCACCTCTATCATGGCCACCATCAGTTCTATGTTTTCAGCTCAGTCATCTTGGAAAGGAAACCTGCACACACTCCCCACCTGTAAGGAGCCTTTCCCATGGGGTGGCTCTCACATTGCAAAGCCCCAGGGCATGGGCTGGTGGCCGGAAGGGAGGTAATTCATTTGAGGCCTGTTGAGGCAGAGGAGCTGCTCAAAATCCTGCTCTAGGCTGGGGGGAGCACGTTTCACTTCTGGCAGAATCCCCTCTTCCCAAGGACCTCCAGCAAAACCAAAGAAGGCTGTCACAGCCAGCGACTGGCGCCAGAACCTCCCTCCCACTGGAGCCGTGAGGCCCAGCCCAGCTCGGGGAGGGGGGGCAATAGCAGAAAACATGTACCCCTAAACCCAGGAGATACTGTTCACAAACACCTAAGAATACACAAGGCGTAGC